AATCTCTTCAAAATATGTAACTCCAAAAAGTTTCTCTTTACAAATCGTATATTCAATGTGTAACATTAACGATGGTTCTTTATCAATCTAGCTCTATAATCCCGCACATTTACACTGGAGAAAACCCCACTGAAGACACTGGATTCCTTTTAAATAAAGTTGCACTTGTGCAGCAGCATAATGTGTATGTTTGAGAAAAGCATGAATGAATTTATAGGTACTGCAAAGACTGCTGTCAAATTAAACAGTAAACTAACTTTGAATTAAATTTCTAGCCTCTAATTACAGACTTACATCATGTACACAAATTGGCTATCTTCACAGAAATGAAATTATGTAACATGCAGTATATTTTTGCAACATAAGCATGAAATGTAATAGAAAAATTGGCTTGATATTATCATTTTGTATGTTGCTAATCTACAAGTTGCTGACTCTCCCACCTTCCCTCCCTTTGTGTGTATGTGCATATGTGTTTGTGAGAGAGAAAAAGTGAGTGACTGACAGAGAAAGACAAAGAGACATTACGAAAATGCCAGGACAACCATTCATCTTATATCCCATGGAAATGGTATTTCAGTAAGTTGAAATGGGAGATGGCGCATGTACTGAAATGACTTAAGTCATCTGCTGTGATAATTAAATATTAGAATCCATTGTTGGATCCACTAAACAATGTTACATCCACAGGTGTAACTCTTTTCAAATCCAACTTCTCTAGAAAATATTTCATTCCCTTTGAGATGGATACTACACAATATGAAGTTGCAGATTTTGCAATTTTGGGACTGATTCAACACAACTGTCTGGATTTTTTTCTATTTAGTGTGATGATGATATGATGATGATTTTTAAAGTAAAAATCCATGAGTGGCATTAAGAATATTTTTCAGGCTACCTTCCCAAAGGTTGGTATAGTTCTGATCCTATCTACAGGAACTGGATGTGCTTTATGAAAATTTTTTAGAAGACTTCTAACATCCTTTGGGCAGTGGATGTGAAGAGAAGAAACATAATTCAGAAAGCAAGCAATAACATGAGAAGCAGCAATTGTGTTCCCCCCCCCCATTAAAAATTGAGTTCTGTGTTGTAATCCTGGCTCCCAGGCAACCTACCCGCAGCAAATCTGGGATGACGGATTTGTTTTGACTGCAGAACCATGCAGACAAATGGAACAGGCAGATGGCATGATGTGTATTCATGATACATGTCCTTGTATCAGAATCGAGTCCATACTGCCTTTTTAATATAAAAAATTAGGCCAGAACTGAAATCCCAGCAGTGTGAAGAGCTTCAAGCTATCCGAACCAGAGTGGGGTGGCTCTTTTTAAGTTTGAATGAATTCATAGACAGTATCATGCTGAGGGATATACTAACATTTTTTTCTCCAATGGTTCTTTTTTTGTAATGATAGAGCACCCTGCCTTTAATAAATTTATATCAAAGGAGGGGGGGGAGAGAGAGAGAGGGAGATATTGAGAGAGAAATCAATGATGATTAGAGAAGGCTAAGATTAGGATCATTCCCCACTGCGATAAAAGGTGGATATATTATTGGAATGCCAGATATAAACAATATAACACTGGAGATATTTAGTTCAGTCATATTAAGCAAAGAATGAGGTGAAAATCCTGCGGTGGTTTGTCTCTCCTCACTGCGTGATAAAGAAAACCACCCCCTCTTCTTTCCAAACTTCTTTTATCTGGAAGCCTGGCTGATTAAACACAAAGAAAGCAAATGCTTGTCAGCAAATGCAGTGAGCATTGTTCAACATAAAAGAAGCTATTTATTCCCCAATGTAGAATCAGCTGGGATATGATGGGGCCTCCTCTCTCTCCACTTGATCAAATACGCTTTTCTTTTTGTTTTATCATCTCTGCTGTGTCAAACACTCTTCATAATCTGCTATCAGGTCCAACACCAAAAGCCAGAGAGGGTTACAGGTACCATTCCTATGCCGAATATTGGCTTCTTTCAGATAATTTGTGAGAACAATTAACCAGGAAAATTTCCCATTCAAATCTCACCTTGCCTTTGAATTCACCAGAGTTATTAATTTAATTATTTTTCCAATTGCCATTATGGGAATAGTAATACTCATCTTCCATAGGAGAATGTTATAATATTGCTTGAAAACTGAGCAAGATGTTGCACTGATCATATCACACATTTCCACACCAGGTTTTTTCTATCACCTTTATCACATGATTTTATTTCATCATATGAACCAGCCATGACAGTACAGATATAGCAACCAAGTGCTCTCCATCTGTTTTGTACTTTAAGTTCTATCTACCTAATCAGAATGGGAAATGGCAAGGAATGTAAGAAATATAGTATAAACTTCTGGACAGCATAGGATACTATCAGTGACTTAATGTGTTGTACCAGCGATCAATAATATGGGACTGAAAATGGGAAACTTGCAACATTATAACCTCAAGTTATAAGGTCAGTTTTAGCAAATACTGTAGCAGAGGCAGGAAGCGCAAAGAAAACATGCCATATGAATTCAACCTAGTTTATAATTAATATTTTTGAAACACTAAGAATATTTTCAGTATACAAGCATTAATTCTAACTGTGACACCACAAACAATAACAGGAAGAGTACCACAGGATCAATGTATATTTCAGGAAGAGCGTTTTGCCCCATATAATGGATTTGCAGGACTACTAACGTAATAATGTATTGCATATTAATGCTCCCATCCTGAACATATTTTCAGTGGAGTCTAATATATTTTAAAGGAATTTATTTTTAAAAAAGTGTATTTAGAATTTTAGCCTTATTTTAAATTCAGCTCATGATACAGTTATAAATAGTATGAATAAAGGACTTTTCCTTCAATTAGACACAAGGGTCTAGCCAGAGAAGAGGCACGTTAGTTCTATGGGGCACTATGTTTGTTCCCCATCATTCCTCTCATCTGACATAATCTATAAATGCTAATGTCTAGTATCATTACTATATGGAAGGGTGAATTCTTCAAACATAGTTTGTAAAGGAGAAGGACCTTATCCCTTGTTGGAACAAGAATTCTACATGTAACTCAGCAAACATCAAGGTGGTAATTTGACATACCAAAGTTTCTGCTTCTCAGAGGACCAAGAATCAATCAACTCAGCAATAAAAAGATAAATACTCCCTGAGTTGATTTCGATTCTCGATAATTATTTGGGCATGTCCATACAGTTTTCTTGGCAAAATCCAGGACACCTTTTTCCAGGATGCTTTAAAAAAAAATCCAATGTACTAACCAAGCTGACATTGCTTTTCTCTGGAACAGACAAGCTTAGCTAGGTGCTGCCATCTAGTAACATCAAGAGAAAAGCCATTTAAGGCTGCCATCTGTGGGCATTTCTATTCTGAAATATTTCTGTGAAGGGTGAGATAAAAAGAACTAACTAAATAATATGTGGGTACAAAAATAACCAAAGGAATAGCTGACTTGAGTTGAAAATCAGGAAGGCAGGAAACAAATGTTTAGAAGCTACTGATTTTTTTTTCAGAATGAGTACAAAATTATTGTTCTTTTCCAGAGTTTTCTACTCTTACGCTAGTGGTCTAAGAAAGCCTAATTTTTTAATTTGCCTGCCTCTAACAGTGGCTTCTGACCACTGTTATCACCAGAAATAAATTAATTACAGCTTTCATACCTGCATTTCATTTTTCTTTCACCTATAATTCTCCCATTCTAATCTGTCTGAATACTCAGTGAGGCTTTTAAAAACCAGTTGGACTTTATTTCTCACTGTGGGGGACAGGATGGAATGGGAAAGAAGAATCTTAGATGTGTGCGTATTTATTTATTTATTTATTTTTCAAATTTAGTCACCGCACATCTCACTCAAAGAGCCACTTTGTGTATGAAGAAATAGTAGATGTCTACAAACTTTTAATCACACAAAAATATCCCGCTGGGAATATAAAATGGCAAAGTATGTGTCATAATGATACATTTAGGTAAAGGAATAAGGCTTATTAAGGGTGTAATTTATGAGGGATACATAGTTTTTATGTGAGTTTTCTTCCACTCCTCGTATTATAGTCTCATACATATTTATTCATAGCTTATTCATTTGTATATGGACAAATTAGGAGTGGCCAACCCACACCCATGGAGTATACACTCCAAACTCCTTATATGGGGATCCCCAGAGATTGCAATGCCAGGAAAACAAGTGAAAATAATTTGTTTCTGTTTAATAAACTCAAGAGAGCCAGTCTGGTGTAGTGGTTAAGGCACAAGGCTAGAAACTGGGAGACCGTGAGTTCTAGTCCTGCCTGAGGCACAAAGCCAGCTAGATAACCTTGAGCCAGTCCCTCTCTCTCAGCCCTGGGAAGGCGGCAATGGCAAAACACTTCTGAAAAATCTTGCCAAGAGAACTGCAGGGACTTGTCCAGGCAGTTGCCAGGGTTCAACACTGACTCAAAAGCACAAAAATAAGCAAACAAATAATAAACCCAAAGTGTTGCCAAACCACAGGGTCTACAGCAGAATGCAAAACCCTATCTACTTTGGGGATAGCAATGTCATGTATGGGTGCAGAGAAAAACATTTTTAAAATGTGGCTCTTAGTCACTGGAAAGTTGCCCACCCTGGTTTAAACCCAAATTATATAACTAAGCTTTGCTAACGATGCTGCTGCTTTCCTACTTACGGCTTTCTGCTTTGATACCTCTACAACACTGTTATACTGCAAGCTCTACATGTGCTCTCATATCTTCAGACAGATGACAACTGATCTCCGTATCTCTGAAGACTAGCAAGTTCATTATTTGTTTAAAACCATCCCTGGAACCAAAATATTAAATTCCACATCAAACAAAAGTCATGGGGCTTCAAATGATGAATAGTTCGAGCAGTTTAAAAAAAAAAAATCAAGAAACTCAAGAAAGTTCAGTTTGTCTGTATTCATGGCATTTGGACACAATTTATAAAAACAGCTTACTTGAATCATTTTTAGTAACATTATGATAAACCAGGCTACTGTACCTTGGAATTCTGATAACATGCCTCATCTGCTTTCCTTTGGTAGATACAGAAGATGCTGAGCAGATACAGAAGATGCCTTGAGTTAATTTAGTTATTCATCTGGTTCTCTCAATTCCACTGGCAAAAGAAAGCAAAGGAGATTTTGAGTAATTAGTTTGTGTGTCTGGGCATATGTGCATATATGAAACAGTACGGAATGAATTGTAGGATACCTAGATAAAGGTAAATATTTATGATAAAAATAGTAAATAATTTGCAGCGACATCACATTTTTATTTTTAAAAATACTAAGCACAAGAAGGAGATGCTTATTGGTATGCAATATACAAGTAAGAGAGGTTTAGATTTTTACCCCAAAATCCTGACAAGAAAGCCCCCTGTATTCAGATACAATTTTAAAACAAGTGTGATGCTGTATTTATGCACCTACAAGATTTCAGATTTTTGCAAGGATGCAAGTAACTTGGATATATTTTACATTCCATATTCTGCACTTCAATTGTTCTTATAAGAGGTCCCACATTTTGGTCATATATAATTTGATAAAATGAATGGTGATACTATAGAGATAGGAACAGACTTTCTCATCGGTGCACATTTGCCCCTCAACTATCGACTCCTTTTACTTCTCCCATATACGTGAATAGAGACTATTATTTTGTATGGGGAAAAAGGGATACACTTCTCACTGAATCTGTCTAACATGCAAATTCTTTTCTCTTTACAAGATTGGTGCTATTGTTAGGCCAGCTAACATGTAATGGTGCCTCATGTGATGGATGCTATCACAATAAGGGACTGGAGAATATTGTTAAGTGTGCTGTATCAGTAATTCTGTGTCCCTAAAACTTGTCTATTTTCTAAAGTGCAGTAGAAGACACTGTATTATTGGTTAGAATATAATATTGGTTTGGTCAGCAATTGTACAGGAAATAGGAGGGAAGAACTATCTTGCTTTTTTGTCTCAAAGGGCAAAATGGATGAGCTGGGCCTTCCATAAGAAAAGTAACTTGATCCTTTGAGTCACTGAAACAGCAGGAGAGAATGCAGAGTCCCATACTAGCTTAACCGTATTATTTCCCGTAACAGATTCTGCAAGCGTGAGAAAGGACTTTTGTTCAAGTCCGAATATACACGCCTGGAACTTCAGCACGATAGGGGATGAATGACATGGTCCATCCCCATGCAGGAAGGGTATATAGATCCCCCTCCCATGCCAGCAAAACATGTAGATGGCAGGTAAGCAGTTTATTTTCATCCCACAACCTTCAGGGCAATATTTCCTGTGTTCCATACTTTACTGAGCCTTTTCTTATTTTTATATCACAGCCAGTTGTATTTGAGGTTGTGTATGTCCAAAGATGGCAGGGATGGTGTCACAATCCAAGCCCTGCCCCTTATGGATGCACCTCAATATTGCACACATGTACAAAGAGGGCTTGGATTGCAATATCATGCTTCCATCTTCCAAATGTTGACATACAGGGGCCCCACAGATGCTCATGATCCCAGCAGAAATGTTAGATCAGCTAAAATCAATAATTTACAACGTCACAGTAATCTTCTCCTTAAGCTTTTCCCATTTTATCTGTAGAAGCATATCCTATAGGTATTTCCTAATAAATTTTATATCTGATTCACACCTCCAAATTAAAAGAATCTGTAATTATGTATCTATTTACTTGTTATGTTTATGTTCTTTTAAGTGAAATTTTATTTTAAGAATTTGAATTTGAGTCCTCTTGGACTAAAGCAATACATAAAAAACTCATCTCACGTGGCCTCTCCCTTTGACTCCTTATATTCTCTTGATTTCACTCAGACTAGGAGAGTTATTAAAGAAAGCCTTTTAGTTATTGAAAAAGGACCCAGCCCAAATTCTGCCCAAACTCAGTTTAACCATGTTAGGTGGAAACCAGCCAACTACATCAACTCACTCATTTCTCCAGTCCAATAAAGGTTCTTCTTCAGAACCAGGTATAATGGTCTCCCCTCAGCACTTTTATATGGGAGATTTAATAAAACTCCCATGATCAGCTGAACCTGCCCGTGATGATGGTTCAGTTGAATCTATTCTCCATGTGCTGCTTCACTGCTCCTTCTACAATGATAATCCAAAGAAGACTCATCTTCCCTCTCTTGCTACATGCACCAAATTATCCTGAGGAATTTCATGCCAATACCCTCTTATCGGACAAGAAAAGTGTTATTGCCCATAATGTAGCAAAGTTCTGTATAGCTGCTGTGAATGTGCACAAACGACTACTGCACATGACTAGCATCCTCATACCTGATTTGCTGAATTTATGGCTATGTGGATGGTTTGCTTGTTTGTTTTCTCTTCTCTTTGCTGTATTTAATTTATATATGTTCTGTTTTATCTGGTCACTGACCAAAATAAATACAGGTAGTCCTTGGGTTACAATGGTAATTGGGACCAGAATTTCCGTCGCTAAGCAATGCGGTTTGAAAGCACAATGTCAAGTGACCATGCCACTTAGAGATGGCAATCCCACAAATGGCGTTCACATGTCCGCAGGACACCTCAAGCGTCGTAATTGCAAGCCAGTTGCCAAGTGCCTGAATTGTGATCATGTGACTGTGGGTACACTGTGACAGCTGCAACTTCAAGGACTAATTGTAAGTCCCCCTCATTCAGCACCACTGTAACTATGAACAGACGCTGAACAAGTGTCATAACCTGAGGACTACCTGTATTATCTATCTAAATATTATTTATTTTTTAAGCATTGCTATTACTTGTTGGGATAGCAAGGCACTTGGTGTTTATGCAGCAGAAACAATTATTTTATAACTTTATAGCTACTGCTTCAATAGACAAGATTAGACTATCATAAAAGCCTGTGCTAGTATGATTAGTGGTTAGCATCAGGGAGAGCTGGGTCCAAGTCTGCCTTCAGCCATGGAAACTGACTAGGCCACTTTCTCAAACCAATCTATTCCATAGAATTGTTGTTGAGGGAAGAAACTAGAAAAAAGAATACTGCATATGCTACTTTCAACTCCTGAAATAAAGATGGAATATAAATCTAACAAATAAATAATAAATTAAAAACCACTTGCTTATTGGTGCAGGAAAACCTCCAGAGGTAGCGCATAAATAGGAGAAGCTTCAGCAGATTCTATCCAATAAACACAGAACTGTGATCTCTGTATTCTCTTACTGGAGTTGTCTTCCACTAACTAACCAGACTACTGAGGGTTCCAAAATGGTTTAGTGTTTTCTATCTCATTAACGTTGATTTTTAGAAAACTGTTCATTATTATTAAAGGTTGTGTCCTCTATTCTGAGATCGAAGAGAAAGATACAGAAAAGGAAAACATTTTTCAAGCAAAAAATCATGCATTATCATTGCAATGACCATACATTCTTTATTATAAAGGGCAAATCTTTATTTCAGAAAGGTGTTCTTTAGATTTATTTAATTATTTATTCTCTTGGTTTTGCTCTTGAATTTTCCTTTCTAAAGCTAAGTTATAAACATAAATTGTTTTTTTTTTTTTAATCTTTATGAACCTCTTTCAGATTTGCCCCCCTTTCAGGTTTGTCCTTTATTTTTTTTCAAGAAAATATGGTCACTGTAATTATGCAAAATCATGAAAACTTTTTGGCTTTGGCTTTCTGTGAGAATTTGAAGAATAGGAAGTCCTACTTTTTGGAAATTGTATTAAGAATTCCTATTCAGTGCCTCTGGACTGCCCTATATGATTTTAAAAACTTCCCTTCTATGGAATTATAATGACACAAATTCCCATTTTTCCTGTTTCTTTTATGGAAGCCACTGACAAAGTGCAGAAAGAAAGGAAGAAAGGAGGAAAGGAGAGGAAAGGAGAGGAAAGGAGAGGAGAGGAGAGGAGAGGAGA